AATAAAACTTTCAAATATTTTGACATATTAATTGCAAATATTAACTGAGTTTCTCAATGATTTTAAAATTAACTTTTTAAATTGTTCTACTCTCAAAGTGTATGCAAATTTTATAAATGTTAATTTTGAACTTTTGTAAAAATTTGCAACAGCTAATATGAAATTTCATTGATTTCTCTTCACTTTAAAGATGATGAATTTGATGGTGTTTGCTTTGATGATCAACGGCGCAAATTGTGGCTTTTAATGGAAGATCCTGGTACAAGTACCGCAGCTAAGGTTAAATTTTTCTAATTTTATTCCACATTGTGATTGTTTGAAAAGTTTGTGAAATTTCTTCAAATTTTATTTTTCATTTCATTTTAATCTTTTTAGACTTTAATTTACTTTTAATGCTAAAAATTTTTATACTAAAAAATTTCAGATTTCTTCGTTCGTTCTTTTTTTTTTTTAAGAAAAAAAGGCAAAATAAAAATTTCCATACAATTTTTAGTTTTCTGTTAACTTTTCAATAATTTATAATATATTGCAAATACAATTTTATTAAGCATTTCATATTTTAAATAATTAAAAATGAAATAAAAGTAAGAAAGAGAAAGAGGGAGAGAAAGAGAGAGAGAGAGACAGAGAAGGAAAGAGATTTGATGTGACATATTATTATTGCAGATTTTTGCGCTTGTAAGCATAATGATGGTGATAGTATCAGTTACTGGTATGATACTTGGTTCAACACCAGAATGGCAAAGTGGCAGTTATAATATGAGCGCAACGGGTACAAGACTTGATTTTCGACTTCATTCCACATTGGAATTTGTTGAATTGGTAGTTTATGATTATTAAATAAACTTAGTATAAAGTAGTGGACAGAATACTTAAAGTTAGAAATTAATTAAAAAAATTAAAGAAATTAATTTTTTATCATTTATTAATTGCTAACAGATTTAATTACATTATCAGAAAAGTAATGCCATTCAATCAGAAATTAGTAATATCATTTCTTAATTTAGGAAAATGTTCTGAAAAAGAAATTGGAATCGATTTAAAAATAGAAAGTTCAAAAAGTTGTAACTATAAATAAAATAAAAATTTGCAAAATTTATGACTAGTATTTGGTCATCATTTATTTATCAAAAATGTTGTACATCAAAAATTTGAGTAATCTTTTTTTTTTTTTTTTTTTTAACTTTGCTAATTAATGCATGAAAAAAAGTGAAAGAGGGAGAAAGAGGACGAAAGATATGAAGTATAATTATGAGATTAAATGTTTAATTAAAATTTTAATTTTGAATACAATTTGAAATTTATTTTCAGGCTTGTATAATATGGTTTACATTTGAATATTTCGCACGGTTTACTGTTTGTACCCAGAAAAAAAAATTTGTATTAGAACCATTGAATATCATTGATAGCTTAACAATAATACCGTTTTATGTGGAAATTTTACTTTCAGCTTGCGGTAATACATTCTCTCTTAATATTTCAATTATTTAATCATAAATTTAAAACTTTTAATTGCAAAAAAAAAAAATAAATAAATAAAAGTAGTACTTAGGATTATAAATTTCAAACATTTCTACTCACTCTTAACTATCATTTCTAATTATCAGAATTATCAGAATCGATTAATTTTCATGACCTAGTTGTAATCACACTCTGGCTACGATATGCATATAACCATTCAAAAAAAAAATTTTAAATATTATTATTTATATCATTTTAAAATCATTTTTCTTATTAAATAGAATAAAAGCATTAAACGAAATGATTTATCAGATGAAATGATCTGAAACTAAACTATTTCTTTTTGATATTAACAAAATTTTAAAAATATATATTTGCTGACATAAGATATTATAAATGAAAGATCAATATATGACTAATAGTGACGCAATGATAATTAATTAATTTTATTTATACTCTATTATTTGCATTATATAATCAGTAGCTAATCTTATGACAATAGCACTAATTAATAGCAGTGCTAATAGCTGTGATAATTATAATTATCATAATATTATCACGAATCATTTTTCACTCACAACAACATATCAGTACCTATTTTAAAAGTAATAATTGTAATTAGCACACTTAGATATTAAATGATTGTGTTATAATGCATAAGTATAGCAATATTGATTGAAACTGATTGAAATTAGAGTTTAGGAATAAACTTTTCAAATATTTTTTATTAAGCATTTATTTGTATTCAACGAAAAGAGAAAGAAAAAAAATCAAAACTCCTTGTTTTTGAATATTTTTTCATGTAAAAACTGCAAGAAATACTAAAATTCCGTCTCACTTTTTTTTTTTAAAAAAAAAATTAAATGAAATTATCACTTCAATTTCATTTAGGTTTCGGAATAAATACATTTGGTGATTTTCGTGGCTTAGCAATGGTAATGCGTGTGGTACGAGTAATGCGTGTAGCACGAATATTTAAGCTTGCACGCTATTCCAGTGGCCTGAAATCATTTGGTATTACTGTTAAGACTAGGTAAGTAAATGAATTCTAATTTGTAGTCAAAAATTTATGTTATCATTCTTATCATTCAATGATATTTTGTAAAAATTACAAAATATTTCAACTTATAAATTCTTTTTGTTTTGCTATTTTTAGTTGTTTTTTTTTTTAATTTAAATTCTATGAAAAATTTTGCAGTCTTCCGGAATTATCAATGCTTACACTATTTTTGTTCACAACAGTAATTTTCTTTTCAACTCTAATGTATTTTGCTGAACGTGATGAACCAAATACAAAATTTAAATCAATTCCGCATGCTGGCTGGTGGTATGTCACATTATTTATACTTTCTTATTTTATTTATTTATATATTTTTTTCTTAATTCATAAATTAATCAGAATTATTTCCAATAATTTATTAAAGTACAATTAAAGGCAAAAAATCAAATGTTTAATAGTAAAGGTCAATATAACTTTTAAAAAAGGTCAATAAGATCAATAATCCATTAAAAGCAGAATTGTTTAATCCAATCTGATAATTTAATTTTTACATATCAAAAAATTCCAAATAATTCTCTTACTTATAGATCAATATTATAATGATATAAAACATTTCATAAGCGAAAATATCACAAATATTTTGTTTGAAATGATTTTTAATCTTTTGAATTCTTATTTTAGGTGTATCGTTACGATGACAACCGTTGGTTACGGTGATTATTATCCGGAAACATTATGTAAATTTCATTTATTGTAAAAAACTTTTATATCAAATGCAAAAATATTCTCTTTATATTATCATTCTTCTTTTTTTTTCACTGAAAAAAATCAAAATTTCATATCAATTTTTTTTCTTTTCTTTTTTTTTTGATAAAAAATTTTGAAAATTTAGATTTGTCCTTTTCTTTTCTATTATTTTTTTTTTTTCAGTCGGTAAACTGATCGCTAGTTGTGCCAGTATATCCGGTGTATTGGTATTAGCCTTTCCAATAACTATGATTGTTGAAAATTTCTCTCGTAATTATGATAGTGAAAGGAAAGACTTTAAACGAATACAGCAAAAACGACGAATGGCTAAGACTTATAATTAAATAAAATTTTTTTAGATTAAATATGATCTAATTAATTTGATTAAAATTTTTTTAATTACAATATATTATGGGTTATGGTAGAAGTTTTAAATATAATATGTATTACTGAAGATGAAATGATTCATTAATTCAATTATTTTAAATTTTGATTGTTTCAAATTTAATGATACAAGAAATGAGACATAAGCAATTAAATAGTAATATGATATTAAATTATGCTAACTGTTTGTTTAAAGAAAATAAAATTTTAGACAATTTTATAATTACGATTAGAACAATTTCATATTATTCAATAAAATTTGTAAAAACTTTAAATATTAAATGTTGTAAATTTTTCAAAAATTTTTCGTTTTTTTTTTTTTTCATTTTTTTTTGGTATCGTATTACTGGTAATATTTGAAATTTATTTTTATTCCAATTTGTCGTTCATTTTGATACATACACACTGCTTTGCTATTTGAGGTTATCTTTATTCATCGGTGAATTTATTAGTTTCTCATTTATTAATGAGAAAGAATTTGTTTAATTAATTTGTATCATTCACAAAACACTCTTATCATTCATTCACGAAATATTTCACTGATGATATCACTGATTACTGATAATAGATTTTACAGGGTATGCATGATGAGGTAGAGAAATTCATTTGTGTGTTTATGTTTATTTGCATGGATATGATTAACTTATGAGTTAGAGCTAATCAAAATTGTTACCTCGACTAAATGATCCATGTAAAATGCATACAGGTAAATGTCTTCACACATTCTATAAATTAAATAATTAATTAATTAATTGGTCATGCTCAATGATTTCATTAAATTAAATATATGTGAAGACATTTACAATCGCTACTTTGTCTTTTTATGTAAATAAAAAAAAAAAAAATGTATCCATTTAATTTATTATTTGTTGAAATTTCAATTTAATATATATTATTTGATAATATAATAAGAGGTGATTTTAAAGCTTTATCGAATTTGATTTTTCTTTTTCTTCTTTAATTTATTATCACATATTGCCAATTTAACAGTTTAGAAATTTAAATTATAGTAATAATTTCTAGTTATCAGATAATTTTTACCATTCATAGCAGCAAAGAAATGATACAATTAGCTTTGTGCCTGTTAATGAATGTTAAATATATAATTTTATTAAATATATGTATATCATTTTTATATAATACTTCATTAAATGGATTAAACAACTCATTTGTTAAATATGAAATACAAATTTAATAAACATCGATGATAATAAATAAGTGAAATAACATTAAAATTTACAATTGCAGAATGGAACAATACTGCAAATAATAATAAACATATGATCAGTAATATATATTTCTAATAATATTTAAATTTTTCTTGAGTTTTATTGGAAAAATGATAGTATCAAAGAATGTTGCATCATTATCATTATTATATGTAGTCAACTCGAATTTGTTTTCATCATTAAATACTCGATGCAATCTTTGTGATGCATAAAAGACTTGTTAAAGTTTGCTGTATGATGATACCTGCTGTAAAATAACCTGCTAGAATTAAATTATTTTCCAAATGATTCCATAGTGCTGTCGTACAGGTGAGCTGAAATTTTATGAAATACATAATTAGTAAAATTGTTGTCTTTTTTATTAAAATAATTTATTATTTTTAAAATATTTCTCATCTATTTGCAATAAATTTTGTTTGCATAACTTACTTAAAAAAAAAAAAAAAATAGAAATTACAATTAGAACTTTATTTTTTGCTATTATAATTAAAAATTTATCAGTATCACTTTTTTAGAATATGCAACTCTTTTATCATGATAAGATAACGCCATTTTGCTATCGAATTAGTACTAAGGAAAACTGATAATAGCTGATTAGAACTAATCACTACTTAACAATTTGAGACAACATTTCATCTTAAATTGCCTAATTTTAAGCAAACCTTTTATAACAAATGTCTTTGTTAATGTGAAAATTAAATGATAAGAGTTTATTTTATTACTATTTTTAACTCACTTCATTTAATGCTTACTTTTAACTCTAATTTTATATCTATTATTGCCTGTAAGATAAACACGTATCATTTTTAAATCATTCATCTAACAATCGATCTGATTAATTTACCTGGTTGACAATCATACATCTTGATAAGGTATCATCTCTTGCACTACAACATTTATACTGAAAATTAAATCATCTTTTTCTTTTTGAAATATATTAATCAGCTAGAATAATTTTACAATATTCTAATAATAATAATAATTTCTTTTCAAATTGTGAAAATTTTCCTATACAAATTTAAATTTTACAAAGAATTGCTATCACTTTATTATTCTCTCTACTACTACTTTATTCCTAATTTGTCACAAATGTCAAACCCTTGATGTAATCGTCTTCATATCATCCAATGAACCATTCAGTTCATCTGCTAAATTAACATATCGAGTTACTGTTTCTTCAATCTGTATAATATTTATTGTAAAATTTAATTCAATCTCAAAATCATCATTTTTCTTTAATCTCTAAATTATTTACAAAATGTTAAAAACCATAAATTATTTTCGATTTTTTTAGCAATAAAGTAATTTTTCTTTTCTTTTTAAAATTCTTTCTCTTCGATCGAATTCTTTTTTCTTTTTTTAAAATTAGTGCCACAACAAAATGAATAATTCTAGCTAATTTATTTGCAAATTTTCCATTAATTCTAAACATTTCGTTCAATTTATTCAATCAAATTAAAATTGTCAAATGCTTAAAAAAAAAAAAAAAAAAGAAAAGCTGATAAAAAACTGATTAGACATACTGTTGGTTTGTAAAGAAAGATGAAAAGAGCAATTGCTAATTCAATAGCTATTAGCATCACTGATGTTATCAAGTTTAGAATAAGTGTCGCACGATTTGCAAACATTGCACCACAAACACCAACAAAGCCAATTAGAGAAGCTGCAATCCCACAACCACAAATTACCCAAAATGATATCGTCAACTGCAATTAATTATTAAATTACCCAAATTGATATTGCAGTTGATTATTAAATTACTCAAAATGATATCATCAACTGTAATTAATTATTTAATTGTATTTTCAGTTACTTTTAAAAATAATAGTAATTAATAGATAAAGGAATATAATATCAAATAATATCACTTTTTTGCATAAATAATCAGTTGTATCACCAGCCTACAGTTTAATGAAAAACAAATTCCAAATTGTATAATTTAGTAAATTTTTTTTTTCAATATTAATTCGAAGCTTTCTAAATAATGCAACTTTTTTTTTTGAAGCAAAAATTTAGTAAAGAAATTAGATATTGAAAAGAAAATAAAGTAAGTTTATGTTTAACATTTTACTAGTAGTCTAAATTTTAATAATAATCATCATTTTTAGTTTGTCATCAAGCATAATTCAACTTATTTAAATTTGCTAAACTTACACCAAGTCGAATTTGTTCTTTCACTTCATTCATTTCTTCATTTTCATTATTAATTCGAAGAATATTCTTTCGTATCATTTCCTCAAATGTTGGATCTAATCGAAGCCATAACGTTAGTCCAATTACAGTAAGACCAATAGCCTAGAAAAACGAACAATTCATTATAATTTTTATTAAGTTTAATTATATATTTATTATAAATTATTTCAAAGAAATTTTAAAATGAATTAGATGATAAAAAAAGAAACCTGAAAACTTACTAAATATAAAAATGTTAATATGGTGAGAATGCCATTGATAAAAGTTTGACATACGCCTCTTCCACCCATAATTATTGCAAATTCTTGAAATCGATTTAAAAATTTTAGCAAATGATCCGGTTGAATTGATATCTCTATCAAACAATTTTTTTTTTCAATTAAAATTTAATGCTTAAAATTTGTCAATTCTTATTGATGATGTATGATTGCAGAGATTTATCAACAAATCGATATTGATTGACAATTTATCGATTGATAGCTCTATTAGAATTTCAGAAGGTGAGAAATTCATTTCTCGTTTTTATAATAATATAAACCTGAAAAATTATTGAATTGATTTAAAATTTTTCATAAAAGATTTGATTAAAATTACTCGATTTATCGATGAATCTAATAAAATTGAAAAATATATTTTTTAGTGAAGTTGGAATAAATGTAAAAATGAAAGAAGTGAAATTAAGAGGAATAAATAATCAAAAAATGTTAGGTTAATATTGCAGGTTATTTTTTAATAACTGTCATCTTAGAAAGGAATATGATTAAAATTTGAATACAGGGAATTATTTTACTAATCCATTCTAATTATCTGTATTCGGCTTTAGTAATTAAAAATTTAATCGTATTAGGCGCATATCAGTGTTATTTATCCTCGATTTCAACCTTAATTTTTAGTTTAATCATATTCCATCTTCTCAATTGATAGATACATTTGCTTAATATATTCGATGAAACTGATTTGGTCATATCAATGGTATAAAATTTATATGCTCGTTTTATTAATCACCAAAATCATCTTAGCAGTTGTTATCAAACATAAAATTGAGTAAAACATTTATATTTAAAATCCTTTATCTTTTTTTTTTTTTTTTTAAATCTTTTATTATAAAATTGAGATCAGAATGTGACTTTGTCAGATAACAATTTTCAATCAATTATACAATCCCATCTCTCTCTCTCTCTCTTTCTGTTAATCTGAAAGCTTGAAATTATTTAGCATAATATAATCAAGTATGATAACAACATGTTTCTATTTGAATTTAATATTACTTTTTCAATAAGCAAATGACTTTTTCATCTGCTTGCAACAAATCTGAACTTTTCACAACGATTAATCTTCCTCAAACGTGAAAATATGTAATATCACGCATTACTTATGGAAATGATAATGGTTGATAGTAAAAATTATTTCTTGATTATTTCAATGAAAATGAGTTGATAACAATTTATTATGATTGATAACAATTAGTGCAATTATATTGATTGTATATTAATTAAATAAAAAAATTTTATTGCACAAGTTCAATACTATTAATTTATAACTTTCATAAATTCTAGAAGAATTATCACTTTGATTACAAAACATTGCATATATTTTAAGATGCATTATTGAATCAAAAGAAAATTCAACTGAAATTTTATGAAAATATTTATATAGCATTTTCATCCATGAATTTTTTTTTTTTTTATCAAAAGCTCATATCATGATATGGAAGTATTATCAACAGCAATAACTGGCTGTAAAACATATCCATTACGATCAAGCCGTTGTCGAAGTTCATCGATAGTTTTGGTTGATGTTGATAATGATGATAAAATTGATGATGTTGAAGAAGATGAAACTATTCCGCTAGATGAAGTGGAAAATGTGATAGCACTGGAATGCTGTGTTGACTCTGAAATAATAAAATGAAATGCTATTATTATAAGCTAACGGTGTTATTCAGAAAAATTACTTCAAATTTTAAAGAATTTATGTAGTTAGCCAATTTGTTCGTTAATTAATTCGTATCTATGGTAATGCTGCTAGGTTACGCAGTACACATTTCTTAATCAATCTTTGCCTTATTTCAAGGAAAAAAAAAATAGTGAAAAACAATAGAATTTATTCCTTATTCATAAACAATCTCGAAATTTGATACTACATTAATAACCTGAACAAAAACTACAACATAAATTACGGTGATAGCTAACTTATGGAATTAATTAATAGTACTCCTCCCCTCCCCCTCTCCCCACCCCAAAAAAAAGCTTTAAGACGAGAAAATGTAAATATTTTAGAAAAAATCATTTCTACTTAAAATGATAAGAATATCATTCACTGATAATAATAATAATAATTTGATGAACATCTTTGGATGAAAAAAAGAAATCGCTGATAATGATAAGTACTGAAATAATAAAATGTCAAAAAGTCATTTGCTATCAAGATAAATAAATGGATGATTTCTAGGCAAATAAAAAAAGATTTCGCAGCTAATTACAATAATGAAGATAAAACTATTGAGGCTGTCAACAATCAATTAACACTATTGTGTATTAAATAATTAATATATGAATGATTAATAGATTCCCATTATATAACTGAAATTTTTCAACAAGCCGGTTGTCTAACCGGAAAGAAAATGGGACGATTTGTTTTTTTTTTTTGTTTTTTTCGGAATGAAGAACAAAAAACCATTTAGAATTCTCAAACGAAGGGAGAGAAAAATCGTTTATATGTGACAGATTTCATTTGTTTAAATATTTTAAAAGGTTTTAAAAAAAAAACTCTCGAAATTGTGGTTTTCACTCAGACAGTGTATTATATGGTAGACTTTTCGGTTTCGATTTCTTCTTCATTTCTATCTGCTATTATTATGTTATATATCGATGAAAACGACAAGAGAGAACAGAGATGATAATTTTGGAAAATTTTATAGTTATTATTTAAATTATTTAGTTGGTGCTTGGAGAAAATAGTTGTATAATTATAATAATTAACTAGGATGAAAGAAAAAAAAAAATTATCCAATGAACTTGAATTTCACTCAAAATTAACAGTAGTATAATTTTGAATTTTTCAGGCTGTAAATGATAGGTTTGGAAAGTATTTGATGAATAGTGTAATTATCCATACCTATAATAACTTCAACTAAGTAAAAAGTTTTTGATGAAAAGAAAGCTCTTACATTTCAAAGCCCTATTTTTTTTTAAATTAATTGCTATCATAAGTATTAGTAAATTTTAAAAGACTGCTATGTTTGATATAAGAAAAAAACAGCTGTTCATTAAATAAAGTCCTATTTTTCTAAAAAGGAAAAAATATTCTGCGAAGATTAAATTGTTTTCAAATATAGATGATAATTAAGTTTTTTAAAATGACAGCAACTGAATTTATATTAATTAACAATCAATTCTTACTGAATACTAGAACACTAATCAAACAGATAACAATAATATGAAGTGCTTTATTAAAGTTTTGATAACACTGTAAAGTATATGATTTTACATATTTTTAGAAAATATAAACTGGCGTTTTTAAAATAAACAAAATATATATTTGTATCTAATTATGATTTGTTTTAAAAAGTTTATACTTTGCGAAAGCTTTCTAGTTACAATTAAGAAATCCATTAAACAGCTTTTCCTTGCAAAATTATGAACTCCAAATCCTAATATAATCAGCATAGACTTTCAAAAGTTCATCCTCACCTTGCGGTATTCCTTTACGCTCCCAGTGATTCTTGAGTTTTGAAACTGATAACAAACCGCAGTCTGCTGTATTACTAGGAGGCACTCCATTAGGTGACTTAACTGGTGATGCATATTTTTCTATGTTTGGTAGAATATCAGCAAAAGCAGGTCTCGATTTCGGATCATGATGCCATGCTGATGTTATCATGTATAGAATATGAGCTGGGAACTGAACAGTTGGATGTGGAGGTAAAGGTGGACGACCTGAAATTCAAACTTAAATCAATCTTAAGTAATCACATATAACATACTATATTCGTAGTCAAATTCGTAGCAACTATGCTAAATTAACTTTCTTGAGTTCAGTTTTTTTTTTTTTTTTTTTTTGAATGGTACTATTGAATGCTTTATCTGTTCAAATCACTGATAAAATTTTAAGATGAAAAAAGTGAAGATGAACATTTTTTATTGGAAATTAAATTCTCAGACCTCGTTTATAAGCCATCTCAGCCGCAGCAGCAGCGGGTTTTAAGTGAGCGAACGGTAGCTCTGCAGCATGAAGCTCCCAAATGCATAATGCATAACTGAATACATCTGCTTTTCGATCATATCGACCGCACTGAGTAAAAATTTCAGGTGCCATCCATCGAAGATTCTAGACCAAACTATTCGTTAGAGAAATAATTTTGAAATTCATCTTTGTAGACAACACAGATAAATAAAATACAAATGGGAAAGCAAAAAATTTCATTAAAAGCACAAAAAAAAATCTAATCTCATAATATTTAAGGCAGATAATAATTTGCTCTTCGTCTATTCTCATTCAGATTACTCACTAATACGAATACTTTTCAATTTGAAAATTTCAACAAACATAACATACGCCCGGTTGTTTAGTCATATTTTCATCGTCATGTTGTGCCATAAAGCGTGATTCACCGAAATCGGCCACTACTGCATGTCCATCTTCATGAAGAAGGATATTATGAGAATTGAGATCTCGATGAATCACCGGTCGTTTAGCAAGCTCATGCAGATATCGCATCCCACGTGCGACATCAATTCCTATATTTAAACGCAAAGCCATTTCCAGAACCCTTCAATAAGTTTCTTTTTTTTATGCTGCTCCTATTAATTAAAAGCATACAAAAATTGATGATTTCATTTTCTCATACAAAACTATTAAGTATTGTAAGCAATTTTTAAATTTGATTTATTTTAATTTTTTTTTAGTATTTCAGCATTTTCAGAATTTTTCAGTAAGCTATTTTTGTATTTTAGAAATTCAAATCGATTTGTAACTAATATGCATTTAACTGCAACTGAAAACTTACCGTTTCTGTTCATGTAGCAAAGAAAATAAGGATCCATTAACAAGAAATTCTGTAATGATTGCAAACTGCTGTAAAAAAAAGCAAGCACTGATAAAGAATTTAGGAATATGCAATTTTATACCTAAAATTCTTTAAAGAATGAAAGTAAAGTGGAAAAATCTCGAAATGGATTAAAAGGATCCACTTAATTTTGTTATCAAAAAATTAAAATAAAACTAACACTTGGATCATCCAAGCATGCACCAACAAAATTAATTACATTAGGATGTTGCAGTTTACTTAAAATTGATACTTCACGACAGAACATATCAACTTCACTCTTGGAACCAAATGCTACTGCGCGGTATCTGCAATGTGATTTTTTTTTTCACTCCTGAATTAAAAAAATTTGTCACCTCGTCAGAGACAAAGATATATCATAATCTACCTTTTGATAGCTACTATTTTGCCGCGATACGTACCCTTATAAACTTTCCCGAATGAACCACTACCGATAGCTTCCTGAAACAAAGTTTGCAATGAAGCAAAAACGTTTATCAATACTTCTGTTCCTCTCGGTAATACGATATGAATTAGAAATACCTGAAAATCAACATCTGTTAATGAAAGATGGAACTGACTGCAGAGTGAAGCTCTTAATTGCAATATTTCAGCTTTTTCTTTTGTCACTGACCGTAAACGACCAAGTGGACTAGGAAGTGGTGTATAGCTGCTTTCGCCAGAACTAAAAATTAATTAATTGAGTACTAACATTGATTATAATATAGAAAACAAATTTCAAATTTCAGTATTTAGCTGAAGATTGCATCAAAACTTTTCTCAACAATATTGCTGTACAGTCTAATTACATTAGATGAAATATGAAAAAAAAAAAAAAAATGGAAACTAAATCTTTTATTTAGAGGTGCAAATACCTATATTCAGAACAAACATCAGAATCTGGACGTTTGTTTGCATAATACTTAAGTAAGGCTACAATCTGATCGTGACCCTTTTCATATGCCCAGATAATAGGTGTTTGCTGCTGATCATCGTTGAGACTAGCAGATGAGACGGATGAACTACCAGCTGTAACTGAACTTGCGGATTCTTTAGACAATGAAAGCATCGTTTGAACTATAGTTGATGATACTGGTGTACTGCCTGAAAGAAATTACCAAACAATCCACTTTTATTATTATATGATCAAAAAAATTTAATAACATTGTCGAAAAAAAAAGTTGGAATTATCGGATCTGTACAAATGAATAGGCTTTTGCGTTAATTTCGTTTTAGACAAGAAACAAATTCCACGATATCAAATTAAATTATGATAACATTTCTTGCTTCATCTTGTAAGCAAGTAACTGAAATAATTAAACTTTCCAAATAGTTAGAGAACAATCATAAGCTAAAAGATGATTTCATACCATCTAATTAAAGGATACAGAATAACTGAAAAAAATCTTGGAAAAGATGAAAACTTGCCACTTAATGTTTCACTTGGCAAGAGTGAATAATCAACAGCTCGAGCAGTTAATGATTGATCTGCACCATTATCTAGGAGAAATTGCACAAATCGTAAATGTCCATGATAACATGCGCTGTGCAGAGCTAAAATTTTGGGATATTATTTTGGAAATGAGCTAAATCAAGTTCATAAACAGAACAAAAGATCAAAAAGATCACAGATCATAAAACAATACTTTTCATTAAACTATGTTCCGAATTCTCAACAGCAGTGTAAAGTTTTGAAAACAAAATTTTTTGTTTGAAAAAAAATTTTTCACTTTTTTCTAAAAAAAAAAAAAAAAAAACGTTTTGTAGCATAGAGACAATCTTGGAAAAAACCTACCAGTATGACCATCCTGTCCTTGAAAATTGGCATCTACACCAGGTTGTTTCAACAAAAAAGCTACCAATTCCAAATTCCTACCATTTGTACAAGCTGCATGTAGAGGTGTTTCGGAGAAAACATTTTCCTATAACAGATATAAAATTCATTTTTCTTTTTTTTTTCTGGTAACAATACATAGAACGAAATGAATTCTTAAGTTTTTCACTGCTATCAAAAAGTTACCATATTCAGAGTTATAGATCCACCGAAATCTAACAATCGTTTTACTGCATCCAACCGTCCTGCATAACAAGCTGTATGAAGCGGTGTATCACCGTAAATATTGGTTTTTAAAGCTAACTGAAAAAAATAAAATTTAGACAATTATTTAAATTTAAATGCATAACTGTGACAGCAATTTGTGATTAATCATGAAACTCTCGTTGCTTATATACATATATATAGGAAGACTTGTACAACTGTTTATGAGTGATTGTAACAATAATCATAAGAACTTTCTAATTATTCAATGCAATGCATTATTTTTTTTTCGATTTTTTCCTAGTTTAGACACTGTTTAAACTGTTCAGGGAGAGAAAAAACTATCTTGATCAATTTAAATTGATCAAATTCATTTTCAACTTAAAAATTAATTTAAAGCTTCTACACTGCATTTCGATGCATTTTGAGATTGATGAGGCTAAATTTTGTAAGAAGAGCCACATCTACACGATGCTAAAAATAGAAAATATGAACAAAAAGGTTTAAAATATGTTATAATTACTCAATGACTAAAGATTATATAATTTATTAAATAATACTAACTTCTTGATGTCCAGCACCAATTTTTAGGAGTAATAAGTCAATAATTCCAACGTGACCTGTTTTAGCAGCGAAGTGTAATGACGTATTGCCCTCATCATCGGTCAGAGTTGCTATTGAAAAATGCAATTTCAAACAATAATTAAGAACAACAAATTATGAATGAAACTAAGATATATGTTTGTAGTTGCTGAAGCACTAATGGCTTACAGCTCAAGAAATTCATTAATCAACAATTTCTATGTGAAAAAAAAAATTAGTAATGTCGTTGAATGCGTAGAATATTATGCTTATGCACAATTTAAAATTTTCTAAAATCAATAAGAAGTTTGAAAAACAAACGATCGGCATCAGCTTCTAGAAGTGCAGAAACAATACTGATTTGGCCTTTATTGCTGGCCAGATGCAAAGGTCGATCTCGTACTCCACCACAAGCATTTGGATCAGCTCCACGTCTCATAAGCAAACGTACTATCTGCAATGCAGCAATTTATCAGCAAAAAAAAAAATAAAAGAGTGATATCAGTCATGAATTAAAATTTTGTAAGATAAAAACTTATCTCTCTAGTCTCAGCTAAGATAATAACCAAAATATTTCATACCTTTTCATGAGCAAAATAAGTGGCACAATGAAGTGGAGTGAAATTTACAAAGTCAGCAATTTGTAATGAAGCACCTCGATCGATCAGCTTTTCTACCATCTCAATATTACCACACATTACAGCCAGATGAAGTGGTGGTAATTTGTTGCGACCGGAGAAATCAACATTTGCTCCAGCTGCTAATAGCTTTTCCATTGTTTCAATTTCATCCTAATAGATATAAAAATTATGTAATTAGAAAGACTTCACTAACAAAGACTTATTTTAAATTTGGAATTCTGATGACAAAATACAAAAAAATTTGTTACTCGAATATCTTATAAGCATGAAAATAATTTCGTCTGGGCAAAGAGAAATAAGTTAATCGACGATTGTTGATGACAAGAATTAAAAAATGACTAAAGCAATCGAATGAATTTAAATATACCAAATATATTTCCAATTTGTAATTATTTGTCAGTAATAAATTGAAAGGTAAATCACTTGTTAGTAGCTATTGATCGTTTAAAAATAAGTTCACACAATTACTAGAGTAGTTAAGATAAAGAATATGTATCAAATGATATCTTACCTTGTAGACAACGAAATGAAGAGCAGAAAAGCCATTTTTTGAGAGATGTTTGAGAAGTGATTCCTTTTTCATATCATCATCACCACATGCTTCAAATAGAATGGCAACCTTTTCAGATTGCTGAAATAAAATTCTTAAATTTTAATTTCAAAAAAGTTATATTGAAAAAGGACACGGAAAACACTCACAAACAGATTCTTGATTATAGAGCTAAAATTAAAGATACCTGTTCCGAATGTCCAGCACAGATGAGATGCAATAATGACAACTGATGGTCTTCAGTGCGTTCATCCAGATTTTTTAAACTTTTCAACGATTCTTCCAACGTTTTTAGTGTACCTTGACTAAAACAAAAACAAAAAAAAAAAGGTGTTATTTGCTATCATCAACAATTGTTATTTGCATTAAAAAAAATTTTTTTTCGGATTTCGAAAGATTATACTTTCCAAAAAAAATATTAAAAAAACTTTTTTTTTTTCAGATTTATCTACGAAAATAAGATAAAATTAACATCTTGATCCAAACATCTAAACTTACAAGCATGCATTTTGCAGCATATTCCAAGCATCAAAACGTGGTTTAATATCATCATTGAGCCTCGATCGTACCACCGCATAGCCTTCACTAATTTTTTTCTTTAATTCATCTGAAAAAAAAGTTAACTTTTTAAATTGGTTCTATCATATGACCTTTTTCTAACACAGCCATATGACTTTTTTTCTAATAAAACTATTCGAATCATATGATTTATTGCATTATTAAATATATATATATATATATATATATTATATATATAATATATATATATATATATCAATTTTTTTCCCGCATTTTAACTTTTATTAAAAATAAAGTTTTATTTCTAACAAAAAAAAAAAGAAAAAATGAAAAGCAAATATAACCTGCGCATGAAGATGGTGGACGTGACTTATAATTACCCATAATTTTTTATAAAATATCAAGAAATGACATAATTTAGAAACAAATATTACATTTATCAAATCCAATAATGAATAATATAAAATATTTATTTAATAAAGCTAGCAAATATTTTGAATATTATAGCTAAAAGAGTAGATGCAGATAACACTGTTGCTAGATAGACAGATAGATAGATGCAAGCAAACAATTTCCATTCAAATTTCACAAACTTCTCAAATTGCTCTTCTGCAGATTTCCTCTTCATCTTCCTCTTCTTCTTCTTCCTCTTCCACTGCTACTATCACCACAACTGCTACTATATCTTCCACTCTCTTCAATGTGCGCTGACGGATGATGATAATGCCGCCTTTGCTTAGTTTATCATAGGCTGTATTACATTTATGCAGCACCATAAAAATTATTTCATATATTTCAAATTTGAACAAGCATTAACAAATGTTTATCAGCGGAGTGATAGATATGAAAAACTGCTAAAAATATCACTTTTAAAAATAAGTGAAGGTGATATTTTAAACTTTTTTTTTATTATCACTTAATTTTTGAATCAAATTCATTGATGGATAACTTAAATAAAGCTAATATTTAAAAAAATAAAAAATCTGTCTGAAGCTGTAGCTATATTAAACCTCTAAAATTTGGAAATGTTATTTGTGCATCTTATGTTCTTGCACAAACAGCACAAACTAAAAAAAATATTTTTATGTTTGTGCATTTTATGTTAATGTTATTTGCAAAAAATCATATTATTAATTTAAAAAAAAAAAAAAAAAAAAAAACAAAATAAAACAAAACAAAATAAAACTTTTTTGAATTTATAGCCAAAAAGTCAAAATATGTATGAGACGTTGTGGATAACCTCAAAATAAAATATATAAATATTAAATTACCTAGTTTTTAAATTTCAAAGGATATCTTCAAACATTCTGATTCAAATAATTTGAAGATTTGTTCCTCATTACTCTTCCTATATGCTAACTAAAGAAGGTTTAAAAGTTTTTATGTTTATAAAGTTTTTATGTTTATTAAGTTTTTACGTTTATTAAATGTTTATAAAAAAAAAATTTTTATGTTATAAAAAAAAAAAAAAAAAAGAAAAAACAACGGATTATTAATCCGTTGTTTTTTCTTACTAAAATCTAAACTTCAATTTAATTTTTTACTTTTCTCTTTAAATTGATCCATATTTTCAATTAAAATGATCATTCGATTACAAAATATACGTATGACAACGATTAATCGTAGCATGAGGACAAAAAAAAAAAAAAAAAATTTGGTATAAATTGATCAATAGTATAAAATCATTATACCTGATTTTAGTTGTATCATAGTACGATGCACTAATTAAATGCTATCGGCAAGGTTAGCAACTGTTAGATGACAAAAAAGGAATAAAGTGAATGAAATTGTCAATTCTGTATATTTTGAAATCTATTTTGACTTAACTATCATTTTTTAAATTTCATCCAAAAAATGAATGAGTAGCAAGAATGATATATTGCTCCCGTGAAGTGCTTCTTCATCATTTTTGTACTGTTCAAATGAATCAGGAAATGCTGTTTGTTAGACGTTCCTCTTCACGTAATAGTATTAGTGACACTATTAAATTTGTAGTGTGCAATTAAGTTGTTCAAACCTTTATGGTAAATCTTAAATTATTACAGTGTTTAGAAGTTTAAAATTAAACTATATTTTTTAATTTCAAAAGTAAACATCAAAATTTTAGAGAAGTCAGTCTGTATCAATTTATTTAAAACAATTATATTAATATGACATAAACAACATTATATAATATACATATGAACATCAAACAAACATCCACAACAGTGCAATAAAAAGTATATGAGATATAAGTAAACAAAAAGGAAGAATTCAAAAAAAAGAAAAAAAAAACCGATTCCTGTTGATCGAATCACATTTATAAAAACCAAATAGTTTCCACAGTTTTGAAATACCGGAAATTTCTAAATTTAATAATAAATCATTAAAAAGATATGAAATAGAAATTAATTATAAAGGAAAAAACAAAAAATAAATGAAAAATAAGAAGGATAATTACAGTAAATGAGGCAATATTAAGGTGGAAAAATGAGCTTTTAAAAGTAAAAGATAAGAAATAATAATAGGAAATCGAAGCTGAAAAAAAGATAAATGATATACTGCAAAGTGCCCTCTTATCAAACTGATAAATTAAAATTGCTGCTGTTTAATAAACAAAAATGTTTTGGAAAAAAAAGTAGCAATGTATGAAAATAAATAAGTTATCAATATGTACAAATTATTACTGCAGGGCAACCTATTGATAATTTATCTTATTGCTCCCTCCGTTAATTGATCCTAATAGTCAACAAAGTATTCTATCTACTAAATATCTGTCACAATAGAATAAATAAACTCAAGCATCCTTAGCCATTATTCTAAACAATTGAGGATCAAGAGAAAGGAGAAAGATAAGAGGAGTCTCCCATCAATAAATCAAAGTTTTAAAAATTTTTCATATAAATAATAAAATTTTTTATATAAATGATAAAATAAATAAAATATATATATATATATATATATATATATATATATATATATAATTATTAGTTTTATAAATAATAAAAAGAACAAATAAGCAAATAACAAATAAAAGAGGAAACAAAATTATACACACAACCATTTAAGAAATTTTTTTTTTTTTTAAAAACAAATAAAATAAACATTGAACACAAATGTAGGAAATCTCCAACAAATTTTCTCATGATAAATTGATAGAAGGAGTATAACTTACAGCTAAAGTTTTCAGTGATTTTTGAATTGGAAAAAAATTAAAAGATACTTGTTTTAGAAATTTGTATGAAAGAAAAGTGAACAATGTACGATATTAAATTCATATATAATATAATTCGTTAATATTTATGCACTTGGAAATGAGATAAAATCGTTGGAGATGCATTGTCAGTAGCAAGCTCATTGCTACAAATCACTATCATCATCATAACTTTTATCACAGTAACCATTATCATGATAACCACTGTAACTAGCTATTCCAGTCATTGCTGACATTATTTCCCGTTGTACATTGGTATTTACTGCAGTCTTTACCAGTTCTGATACCTTCTCCAAAACACGTGATATCTGAAGTTGATGTTCAACCGATTTCTGAAATAATTTCAGAATAATCTCAAATGGCTTAAATTGTTTTTATTTTAGACAAATAAGCTTCCATTTTACTTCTATTTCATCTTTAAAATAACCCATCCATTTCTTATCGTATTTGTTTTGGATGACTGTTAACATATCAGTAGAACAAACAACAAAATAAAAAAAACCAATAAAAAAAAAGCTAGGAAACAGAAAAAAATTTCACTAAAATGTATGAAAATATAAACAAATAAGATTAAATGATAGCTAATTACAGTGCATTTAAACAGTTCGATATGATTATGAAATATTTTAGCTTTTTAAAAAGATTACAAGCAATATACTTAACATTACTCAATTAGCGGTTAATAATTACCTGCAAAAGTTCATTTTTTAGCTGTTTAATTTCAGCATCACGATCAGCAATAATGGCCAGCAATTCCACTGATGACAGACCGGGATTCGTCGAAATACGCTGACCAACACTACCGGCATGATTTACGAATCCTTATAAGAATAATTCATGCTATTACTAATATTTAGACATTATAAAAATGAATGAAAAATATTATTAAAGAAGAAAAAAATATCAAGACCATTGTCCCAAGAATGCCAGGTCACAATGTCCAGCTTACTCGTTTGTCGCAATCTTTCAGAATCACAGAGGGGTACATCAGATCAAAAATCAAAAGGAAAAGAGAGAATATTAATTCCTCTTTGCAAAATCCTAGAATTACCACTTTTTTTTCTCAAGAAAGCATTAATTTTTATTTTAGCGCAAAATGTATTAACTAAATCTTGTAAAAATACTCCACAGATCTATTCTTGAGATCACCAAAATTAACCATTTTTCAAATCCATATTAGACTTCCGATCCCTTGGTGTAAGTCGAGGTAAAAGAGTTGGTGAACCAGTTCGAATTTGAGAAGTACCAGTAATACTACCTGTTCCATTTGACACCGGAGTTACCAAACGTGTCAGCAGATCGGAATTACTCGATGATGCATCCGAATCCAAACTTTAACAAAAAAAATAATCATCATAAATCATCCGTTTTATTTCTCCGTTTAACTGAACAGAATTATATCTATATATAGCGGCAGATAGAATTCTAATAAGTCAAAACATAATTATTTAAGTAATCTCTCAACGTCCACTTTAATCCTACCTCCTCAATACTTCACTTCTTAAAATTAGCACTTACTCGGCCGACGCAGTTCCATTAATGCTACCCGCATCGGATCGTGATGCACCACCAGCATTGTTATTAAAACAAATTAATTGAGATTTCCTCCTATAATTTGCATAAAGTTTTTTAGTTTGTTCGATTGTTAAATCACCCAGTTCAGATCCATACTTTTCATTGGTAGAATCTGTGATTTGTTTCCAAACTTGATTACGTTCCGCATTAATATGATATAACCTGAAATAATGAACGTAAAAGTAAAACTGTCCTCGAAGAAAGTAAACATCGGTGGTCAGATTATTTCAAGGTAAATAAATTGAATAAATGTTGAAGAATAAACATATGAAAGATATGTTAGTTAAAATATTGTCATGTGAAATTCTCACAAAACATTGAGGAAGTTATTTAAAGGAGGCATTTATATAAAAAGACATAGAAGGAAAATTTAAAAAAATGTTACAAAAAAAAAAGATATTCTCAATAAATGAAACCAGTTCTTTCCTTTTTTTTTTTTTTTTTTGATTTGGAAAATGAGTAAAAGAAATGCCTAATAAAATGCTTAAAATCAAAAAAAAAAAAAAAAAATGAAACGAAAAATTGAACTAATATCAAATTAAATTATAGAAAAAATGAATCAATAAGATGGAAAGAAGAGAATACCAAGTTTAGTAAGGAAAAATACCTTGAATGG